GAGCCCTGGGATCTACCTCAGCTACCACGAATTGGTGAATACCGTTTCAGCGCTATCTTGTACTATGTGAGAGAGGTCGGTTCTTGTTCTGGTCTGCACCGTTACGGTATGCGACAGAAGCAGAGATTCTTTGCAAATGGCGACGGCCCCGACGGGTTAAGGATGCAGTAAATAGCTACCTGGATACAAATCAGATACACCTGAGATCTTTCAGAAGGGTCTAGTTAGCCAAAGATAAGGTGGYGGAGATTAACTATATGCAGCGGAAATTCAAGGACTGGCATAATTCAGAAATTCCGCTATGGAGGCAGAACTCCAAGACTGAGGGGTCACAGAGCCCAGCACGAACTCATGGACGGAAGTAGGAGGGGAAGAAAGGATGCCTTCTTGTGATTCTTGATGTGAATAGCCAGAGCTGACAGGTCCGCAGAAGGAACCTGAGAGGAATGCATGAGAAGGGCCAGCTGACAGTCAATCCTCCTGTAACATGGAGCAATCAATGCTGGTCAGGGATGCTTCGGCCAAACGGAAGGATGTGTGAGTGTGTAAATGATGTATCTTACTATCTTGACTTGCCGGGGGAATAGGTACCGCACTGACACTCCCCAGAATGGATATGGGGTCAGGGCCATAAACCACCAGTACATGGCCCAGCCAAGTTGAGAAGTCAAATGAGCCTCTCCTCAAAGTTAGGGGACTCGCCCCACGGCGGGCTTGGGGGCGGGCGGGGAATTTTTTTTGTCCCACACCGCAGGGTGGGCACTGGCGCCACCGGGGACAGAAAAAAAAAATTATGCCCGCCCTCAGGCCTGCCATGGGGCAAGTCCCCTAACTTTTAGGAGAGGCGCATTTGACTTCCTCATAGGTACTGGTGGTATAAGAACCTGTAACACCTGTTAGAAAAAAAAAAAAAAAAAAAAGGTCCTAGTCTGAGTATGCTCGCAAGCCGTGGCAAAAAGTTGGCACTCTTGTCCTGAAGTTGTTTTGTTCGGTGTCCCGAAACACAGGCAGACAGAGCATTTGCTTTGAACATTGCAAACTTTGGATTAATCAATCAATCACCATGCTCTCGGAGTCGGAAGCCTGGTGCCCCTTCAAACACTGGGCTGTACACCTCCTCCGTCCATTCCATGATAGGTCGCGGAAAACATGGGACGTTGGGAATTGCTGTGCTTGAGCAAATGAGGCTGACGAAGAGCGTGCTTTCATCTACCACCACGGTCCCCCCGCCGGTGAAGCGCTTTACAACAGCTATCTGATCCTTCAACACCATCGGCAAATTCAACAACGAGGCAGGTTTCCTGTTTCTCGGCAAGAGCATCCAAAAACAGACAAAGAGAAAAACACAGACGTGCAATGACGGCAGCAACGTGAATCAGAACAGAGCCTGTGCTCTGAACATTTTAGCATGGAAACACGATAGGACTCTGATCCTATTTCGTTGGTGTTCAAGATTGGAATAATGGTAACCAAATGTGCAAAATGAGAATGAATCTTCAACTAGAACATGAGGTGATACACCACCATATTGTGTATGTGGTGAGAAGTGGAGAGGCGCCAATACAGACGGTTGGGGGCATTTGCATTCCATTGTCAGAGATGAAACTGCAAGGAAAATGAGCAACAGCGAAATGAAAGAACTCCAGATTGCACAATCACAATGAAAGCCAGACAGTCGAATGCTGTCCAGAAAGCAGAAATGCAATGGCATTACACCGATGGAGAACTAAAGCGGCGAACTCAATTGTAAATGAAAGCATATACTCGCCACCGCCAACAATGTAATTGAAGCTCTTCCTCTTATTGGCGCTCAGCGCCCAGACTACAATCACACAGCTACTCTATCCTAAACTACACTGTGACAACGCAACCAGTTGACGTCAGCAGCAACGACCGAAGTACATGCAGATGTGAACCATGCAGACCATCGCCAAGACCAGGTATGTGCCCTCCCATCATCATCCTCATCTCTCTCTCTCTCTCTCTCTCTCTCTCTCTCTCTCTCTCTCTCTCTCTCTCTCTCTCTCTCTCTCTCTCGTTTTCTTCACCCATGTCTCCACTATGTAGCACCCTGAGGCTGCTACACAGGGCCTGTTTTGGGGCCTGACGGTTCTTCCAGGGCCCCAGGCCTCGCCCCCATTTTTGACGAGCGACCTGGAGGCCCACGACCATTTCTCCAGGCCAGGCACACACTTGGCTCCATGTGTGCTCTCTTTTATTCAGCATTTATTATTTTTGCTGGGTTTTGTCTGGACTATTTTGTCTGTTTCAGATGTGTCGGTTCGGACTTTTCCTTTTGCCGAACAGGCAGATGTCTGTTTGTGCCTGGCCCAGTCCTCAGGACCCTGCTGCATCAGCAGGGTTGCCCGGATGTCCAGTAGGGACCCAGGCAGGCCGTTTTTTCCCAGGATCGTAGGACCAGGACTTGGGCCTGCGATCAGGACCATCGATCGGACATCAGATCCGATGGTCCTAATTACAGACCGAGGACTGCTCAGCCAGTCCCACCGGTATATAGCTGGGCCAGTCCTCCACTTTGGGGACACATTTGGGCTGGACCCTCAGCTGGGCATCATGCTGCTGGAGCAGCGCCAGTTTGGAGGAGAGCTGCGATAGAGCAGCATTAGAGTAGAGGAGCAGGCTGGAGTGGAGAGGTTGGCGGCCCGCGAGGGAGAGTGTGGCATACTCAGTACCACACGGGCCCAGCAGGGCCCGACCAGGTAGACTAGGGGTCTGTAGGTGTAGGGCCTGTTTGGTTTCAGCCTAGAAGCCTGAAAACGAGGGCCTACAGGCCCTGTGTCGTTTCAGCCCAAAAGCCCGAAAACAAGGGCCTACAGGCCCTGTGTCGTTTCAGCCTAAAAAGGGCCCTCCAGGACCTGAGTCTTTTCAGCCTGAAACGGAGGGCCATTTTCAGGCCCTCATAAGATCGACCTGCCCTGAAACTTGGGCACCAGACCAGGGTTTTAGCACAGGCCATTTTGGGCCTGTTTTCAAGACAGCCTTTGTTTGAACTTCAACACCAGGGACGGGCACGTTTTGGCATTGGCAAGAGCAGCCTCCTGGATGGTCCAGCATTATATAAGACTGGCCCGCCCTGCAGACCTGCCCTGCAGGCTGCAGGCAGTCACGAGGCAGTTCATAGGAACTTCCCAGGCACTTCACGTGCAGGAGGCAGGAGGTAGTCTTCAGGATTCGGCAGCAGCACTCTGGAGGAGCGCCGCAGGAGTAGTAGTAGCGTTAGCAGTAGTCTTCAGCGCTGGGCGCTAGTAGGAGCTGGAGTAGCGTTGGAGAGAGAGAGAGAG